TTCAAAGATATCCCAAATGAGTACAACAGGACCTAAATATCATTTAACTCAATAAATCTTTTACCAGCTCTTTATGGTCACTAGCTTCCAAAATATTTGTTAGGGGCTCCCAAATCTTTCTTTGTTCCTCCCAACATTTTCCCCTAAGCAATTGAGTGAGTTTATCTACACCAGGGGTAGGCAACCTTTCTCCTTTAAGGGCCGAGGGACTTCAGCTCCCAGAAGCCTCAGCCATGTTGGCCAATAGTCCCATGTTGGCCAATAGCTCCTGGGATTCTGGGAGCTGAAGTCCCTCGGCCCTTAAAGGGGAAAGGTTGCCTACCCCTGATCTACACTAATACAATCTACCAATTTCTGTATCCACTCAGTAGGCGTTGGCAAGCTTTTACTTTTCCATCGTGATGCAAAAACAATTCTTGCTGTTGTTGTTATATAAAATATTAATTTATGGAACTGTTTGTCTATTTGTTGTTCATCATACATGCCCAATAGATAAAACTTTGGATCCAAGTGTACAATTGCGGGAATTATTTTAACAACCCAATTATGCACCTCTTCCCAATATTTTTTAGCAAATCTGCAGTGCCACCACATATGAATAAAAGAGCCTTCTTTCCTATGGCACCTCCAACAAAATTTACTAACATTTTTATTCATCTTAGCTAACTTCAAAGGTGTTAAGTGCCATCGCATTTGCATTTTATGCCAGTTTTCTCTTAATTCGTAACTGAGTGAATATTTTAATCTACAAGACCAGCAAATATTTCCAAAGGGATAGCTAAATTGGTATGTTGAAGTCAAAACAACAAAAAATCCTATTGCACCTTAAAGACTAAGGCATTTATTACCATATAGCCTGAACATTTCATCGGTTATGGACAGTTTTATCTAGAACAACAGTTCACCTGGTGCCAAGAAGTTTCTAATATCTCAGCAGTATTGTAAGTGACCAGTGTTGATTAATTACGTGTCACTGTCACTGCTTCCTGCATTGGATTTGCCTCTGATCTCGTGGCAATATCACCCTTGACCATATAGTTGAGATACAGGACGGCACAGCAAGTTTCTGATGAAGTGGGCTATACAAAACCCACTACAAAAGCTCATTCTATAATACAGTTTGTTAGTATAATACAGTAAGGTGGTACAGGGCTCTATTATAAAGACTATATATCCCACTTCTCTACATATCTTGCTTTTGTGGACTGCATCTGCCCTTGATGATGTGTTGCTGCTAATCCTGTTTTATAATGCCAAATTCATTAAGTAGACTTTTAAAAACATCAGACAGTTTCCCTTGAGGTAGAAGAGTAGCCCATGCTTTATAAATAAAGGGATTAAAGTCTTTAGTTTCCATTCAAGAATGGCACCATTTCTGTGATGTAGTCATAGAGACATTGTTATTTTAGTTGCTATGTGCTTTCAAATCATTTTCGATTTGTGGCGACCCTAAGGCCAACCTGTCACGGGGTTTTCTTGGCAAGATTTGTTCAGAGGAGATTTGCCATTGTCTTCCCCTGAGGCTGAGAGAGTGTGATTTGCTCAGGGTCATCCAGTGGGTTTCATGGCTGAACGGGGAAATGAATCCTGGTCTCCAGAATTGTAGTCCAACACTCAAATCACTAAGCCACACTGGGCTGGGAACATGGGTTAGATTACACATCCTATCAGCCTTGTCCATTGGCCATGCAGATTACGTTTGAAGGGAATTGCAGACTATCAACATCAGTTATCAACATTCCCCTTTGTTATTGTATGCCTTCAAGTAATTTCGATTTATGATGACCCTAAGGTCAACTTGTCACAGGATTTTCTGGGACTGAGTGTAACTCTCCCTAGGTCATGGCTGAGCAGGGAATTACATCCTGGTCTCCAGGGTTGTAGCCCAGTGCTCAAACTACTACAACACGCTGGCTCTCAGATTCCCCCTACCCTTGTCTAAAGAACTCCATTCTGACTGTCTTCATCATGGCTTTTTGGCATTGGTTGTTATCATGTGGCCAGTGATGTCCAGTTTTTTGAGTTGTTTCCCTTTGAGCACTCTTGGCTGCTTGCTCTTCAGCTCGTTTCTCCTGTCCTCTCCCCTCTAGGAAGAGGCCATGTGTGATGTGAACATTGTACTATTCATAGCATTTACACAAGCTTCTGTTTAGGCTGAGGTGGAGATAACAAGTGGCTAAACATTGGCTTATGCTGGCCCCTGGAGGCTGTTGAGTAGAACTCAGAGCCAAGATGGACACTTCGCTGTTCTTGAGGAGGTGCTGTAGTCTTCAGAGAGTGGTAGTGAAGTATCCATGAGAAGTGCATTTTTTCCGTGCAGAGTGACACACACATACACCATGAGTGGTGGAATTTCACTTAGAAGTTAGTGCCACCTGACAGGCAGCGGCTCCCTAATTATGAAATATATGGATTTGGGGATCACATTTTACACAAATGTAGATGCGTATCATATAACTGAAATGATTCAGTAATGATCCCAATTTAAATAAAAGCCAAGCAGTGCTTAATGTTTAATTTTTGTAACCAAAGTAGATGTAATCAGCAAGGTAGATGTCAGTTGTAAGGTGCAGTATAGGCACAGTACAAGGTGTTGGTTTTTACCTTTAAAGCCCTACATGGCTTGGATCCATCTTATCTCTGGGACCGCCCCTTTCCATATGATCCCCCCGCACATTTCGGTCCTCTGGGAGAAACCTGCTGCAGCCTATGAAAACTAGGCTGTCGCAGACCTCCCAGGGGACCTTCTCTGCTACCGCTCCCAGACTCTGGAATGGCCTGCCGGATGAGATCCATCTTATCACCACCCTTGATTGCTTCAAAAAAGCAGTAAAGACGGATCTCTTCCGGCAGGCCTTCCCGGAATAATTTCCTGACCAAATTAGGAGTCTGGACTGCTCCCTGTTTCCCTGCCTCTATCGTCTGCTTTCTCTAGAAGTTGCCTTGTTCATTGTATTGTATGTATGTTGCTTGAATTGCTATTTTAATATTGCTCTAGTTTAATTTATTTTTAAGGAGTGGGAGGGTTAGGGATTGGGCTGAAGGATTGTTTTAACTCTTGTTTGTTTTAATTTGCTGTACGCCGCCCCGGTTGCTAAGCAGAGGGGCGGGTTAATAATAATAATAATAATAATAATAATAATAATAATAATAATAATAATAATAATAATAATAATAATAATAATAATAATAATAATAATAAAAAAAACGGAGAAGTTTTTATTTGCCACTAGCTGAATAAAAAGAACTAAAACATTCTTATTGTTGGTCTACAACTACTAGCAGTCCTAGCCAGATCAGTCAATGATAAGGAGGAGTACTACTACTACTACTACTACTACTACTACTACTACTACTAATACTAATAATAATAATAATATTTATTTGTATACCGCCCTGTGGCGAACCAATCCGGGCGGTTGACAACAGTAAAATATAACAAGAGTAAAATATAACATTAAAACATTATAATCCCTCCCCCCTTAAGAAAGTATTAAACAATATGACAAATTAAAAACACAATATCAAAACATAAAACCATAATTAAAACAAACCAAAAACCCTGGTGTCCCACTGGAGATCCTCAACCATCACTAAAGATGGGGCCACGGGAGGAATTAGGGGATCAGGGAGCAAGATCTGGAGGGATTGATCCTTCTCTCCCCCTATTATACAGGTGATGTTTGTCTCCCTTACCCAGAATTCTAAAATCTAAAATTCTCCAAAAACCAAAACTTTTTTTCATGGATGGTGAGATGACACCTTTGCTTTCTGATGGTTCTGTGTACACAAACTTAACTTTGTGCACAAAAATAGTGTATAAAAATACCTTCAGGCTAAGTGTATAAGGTGCATATGAAACATAAATGAATTTCATGTTTAGACTTTGGTCCAAGATACCTCATTATGTATATGCAAATATTTAAAAATCTCTAAAAAT